GGGGGGGGGGGGGGGGACGAAAAGGGGAGGGAGGAGGAGGACGCGCTTTTTTCCATGATGCGAGATGGGTATTGCTGCACTGGAATAACGCAGGGCCAAGCACGACAACCCAAGACACCTTTTGTTTGAATAAGGCTGACAGCTCTCCATGGTTTCAAGTACTGGATACAGGGGAAGGAGGGGTCTGCAAAGACTGAGAGGTAGCGTTTCGGAACTCCAGTTGGCGATGACTACAGCGTACCCACCTCATCGATATAGAGGACCTACAACAGCAAGAGCGTTTCCAGGGCAGAGTAGGTCTGTGACGTACTGGTCATCAGGTCGCATACCCCACCCACCAGACGGCCTCAAGCATCGCATACCGACCTAGAGACCACGTGTATCATATAGACCACCCCCAACCAGGTACAAAGGGAACAAAGCATATGCTTCAAGGGAATTTGTGAGATCGACAACAACGCAGCTACAACGCTGGGAGAAACTTGATGGCATGTTGCACTTACCACGAGGTCGAGCACTAGCTCCTGCCAACTGCAGAAGTCCGACACGTCCGCGACCACGCCTTGTTCCGGTCTGGAAACCTGCTGGCCCCGGTCTTCGGCCTGCTTCCCGTCCCTCGTATGCGCCCTCTCAGGGTCCTCGGGGGAGGTGTCGACCGAGAACCTCGCGCCTGTTGGCTCATCGGTAGCCGCTGTTTCGCCAACCACTGCATTGACAACCGCAGCTACCGCTGCATGCCCCTCGGCGGATATCATACCCGCCTCTCCCGCTGCAAATATGGCCTCGTCATCGGAGACAAACCTGCCGTCCGTTGCTCCATCGGTCGAAAATGGAGCCGTAGCTGACGGTTCCAGCGTTGTTCCCAGTACCACCTCCGGTGCACCCAACACCGCCTCCTCATCGCCCTTAGGAGCTTCCGGCTCCGAATCCTGAACCTGCGACTCAACGTCGGGCATCTCCTCTGTCGCATCGTCCCCCTCCTCCGTGGCCTCACCCCAGTGGTTGGCCACATTGTCACCAGGCGTAGATGGGGCGTCGTCGTCGTCATCGTCGTCGTCGTGGTCACCGTTGTCATCCTGCCGGAACAGGTTGACTATTATAGGATCTACCCCACGGCTGCCAAGGTGCTGGAGGCGGGGTGGGAGGGGAGGGGAGGGGAGGGCGTGCTTAATTGTTCATGCCAGAGGGCCTGCAAGACGATTTAGCAAGGCGGAGGCAAGCACAGCAAGTGGCATCGACTTTCGCTACGTTTATGATTGAGAGGCCCCTATGGTACGTAGCATTGGATACATGCGGTTGAAAGATGGGCCGTTAGGGCGAAGGGAAAGCGACGCTGCGAAAATACCTACGCTGGATTAGTAGTTTGAGTACAAGCCTCATCTAGCCCAAGCTCTTGCCTTCTCCTGTCGCGCTCTTTCCATACAAAGGGCTTGCTCCTTGAGCTCGCGCTTCGACATGTTCAAGTCCTGCAATGTGACTTTCATCTCGCTTGGGGGTGGAAGTGCCGTAATCACACTCTACTTCGTCGGGGACATTCATGAAGTCGGTCATACTTGCGTCAGGGACATATATGGACAACCTTGATCCACGCGGCAAGAGTTGTTTAACGCTGTCACGGAGCGAAGCGGGGCGCTCTTCGCTTTGAAAAGAGTTGCGGAGTGGGGAGTTGCGATTTATCCGACGGGAACATCTGCACGGGGGACGGAGTGATTGTTTTCGCTTGGAAACGTCAACGAGGGGAGCGAAATATCTTGTCGCGCCGGTACTGCTACTGAGCGTTCATACTACATGCACCCTGTGGCGTCAACCGCACGAGACCACGGTCATGGCGATGGTGCACCATCAGAGACAAACAAGAAAAACAGAAGATGCAAACATCCGTTCCAATGAACGTAGCACTTGAGGTTCGCCAAGTACTTTGGGTTGACCGAGAGTCGAATTGCGTGCACGGTGTGTTGTGCGGGGATGGATGTGCCAGGACACCATCGTTGAATACGCCGCCGCCTAAACAACCCAGTTTCAAGGCTTGCGTTCACGGACAAAGCCATTTTTTCCCACATCGACGTTCTCCACCAACCATCCACACGCTTGTGCAACGGCACAAATGCAGTGGAATGCCTCGCTTGCCTCCACTGTTCGAACTCCTAGCACCAATGATTTTGGTAGCCCGTACAATCATGTAGGCGTCTCTGGTACATTCAACAAGTTCGAAGTCTACGTCAATTTGCTCCAACACCCGAGCAGCTCGGACACATCTACAGCTGAAGCCTGTTCAATAGACTGGTAGCAGGAATACTTTCCCAGCATGTGGTCCAACAACTTGCAAATATCCAGGTATATAGCAGAGTTCGACCTAAGGAATGGTGTCATTTCTTCGCCGAATGTTGTGCTACACATGATACCCGATACCGGAATGATATTTCTCTGATGGCAGCTGTGCTGTAAACGCTAGGGGAGTATGGCATGCGCTATCACCGTAGAAAATCACCATGAATCCGCGACAAAACACACTCCACGAAGAAAAATATTCGCGAGTTCGACGGCTGATTCTGTCAAGGAGAAGAGCAACCCGCATCGTAGTATTTCTCAAACGGCAACGGAACACCGACATGGAACAACACCAAACGAGGACAGGAAATCCCGGTACAACCTGACGCATTAGCACAGCAGCATCGCTTGTGTCGGTACTAAACAGCGGCCGATTCGTTGCAACGGCAACGGTATCCACTAAACTTGGTTCCATGTAAACGCACCTGGTGACATGCCGAATTGTGACTCGACGTACGCCATATCTCAACCTGTGTTACGCAAAGCAGCAGAAATGGGCCGCTTAAAAGGTTCTACATCGTGTCGTTGCACGACTTCATCGTGACAATAGATGACACACCCATAAATCATGCTACGATAGGTGCAGTGCAAGACCGTAAGGTTTTGAGATCGTAAGTTTCGGAATTCTTTTCCGAATGAGTCGCGAAGGGAGCGATAGAAAAGCAAGGTTGAGCGGATAAGGTCACATTTCCGCACGGGTAAAAGAGTAGTTATACAGGCGCAGGACAACTTCTGGCAAGGCCCACTTCGGGCTGAAGGTTGGTTACCTGCAACCGCGACTTCGGGACGTTGCATTCCGTTGCTGTCTTAAAGTTACCGACGGTGATGCGATTTCGTGGCAACACCGGAAGGATAGTGAGAAGGAATCCACCCCCGTGCCACGCGTCGCCAACTTCGAGCAGTTGCGGCAAGCAAATGGTGTTCGCCAATAAATATTCAACGAATGGGGGCTACGTGAGATTTACGCACCCATTTTACAATGCCACATCGTTTGATACTTTTAGAAACGTCCAACGTATGAACAAGTGTCACCGGCGGTCGGCACGTTATATCGCATACGGCAACCCTCGGTGGCTAGGTCGTGAGACATCATATCTTCGTGGAACGTGAATGCGCTCATTTTCCAGTATTCTTTCATGTGTAGAAGCGTTTGTACACAAGCACGCTTGTAGCGTGTGAAAAGGCATTTCTTGAAGCCTTCACACGCTATGGATCAGAGCGCTTCGGGTAGAGGCTATCAATAGAGAGACGAAACCACATCTGAAGTATTGTTTCAACACCCGGTCGCAGTCTCCTGCACCTATCTCGCCGTCTTGCCTCTCTGGCCGAAGAACTCCGACCCTGGTTACACGGTGGAAGATTCCTCTGCAACGGTTCTTGCAAGAGTACGCACGATGAAGCACTTTCGTTCGCTCGCACTACTGTGTGCACAATTTACGGACAAAACACATGTACTCGAGACTCAAAAGCAACCCTAGCCGACCTTCGCGATTTTCAGTAACACCTCCGACATTTGTGACTGTGTTGCTGCTGTTGTAGCTGTTGTTTTGTTCGCATTTAGAAACCGTCGTTATCTCTGCCTCGTACCTTCTATCGCTCGTGCTGGTCCAACTGACGTCGATGCTTTCAGTAGTAACAGACTAACGAGAGAAGGTACCATGTTTGTGTGTGTACTTGGTAGGATACGAATCTCCGAGGTCTCCGGGAGTTACGCAGATACATATGATGGGTGGGTGTGATGGACTTGACGCGCTAGGCTCTGCTTTCCTGCCCATGTCTCTCACTCGTTAATACAAAGACCTTGAGTCAACCCTTCATGCAGAAACGCCCTCGACAAGAGCCCGCGAGCGTGATAGCGCGATACAAGCGCCGACACCCTACCACGATATCGTGGACGCAGCTGACGTCCGTAGAGAAAGGTTCGGGAGGTGTTGTCATGTGTGCGGGTTCCTTGCTATTCCACGCGGTGTGCGGAAGGTCATGTTAGCGTCGTGTGAGCAAAGGTTGGGCGATTTACAGGGGCTGATAGAGCAGGCAGCGGCGGAGAGCCTCAAGCTGCATGAGGCCCGAAAAGTGGTGGGGGAGGCGAGGCGACCGGGGAGCGGGCATTCGCGGCGGGAGCGGCGGCCTCGTGGCAGCACTGGCGGCAGCACCGGCGATCCTCGGCAGCATGTTTTTCCCGGCGCCGGCAGTGGGGGGGACGGCCAGGGCGCAGGCACTCGCGCGGCGACAGCACCGGCGGCAGCACTGGCGGCGAAGGCAGCGACCCCCGGCAGCAGATTATTCCCCGCGATGGTAGTCGGGGGGACGGGCGGGGCGCAGGCACTCGCGCGGGAGCGGCGGCAGCACAGGCGGCAGCACTGGCGGCGAAAGGGGCGATCCATGGAAGCAGAGTCTTCCCCGTGGTTGCGGTGGGGGCGGCGGCCGGGGAGCAGGGGCTCGCGGCGAGAGCGGTGGCCTCGGCGGCAGCACCGGTGGCGAGAATGACAACCCCCGGCAGCAGAGCCTTCCGCGCAGCGGCGTTGGGGAGGCGAACTGGGAGCGGGCACTCGCGGCGGGAGCGGCAGCATCGACGGCAGCACCGGCAGCGAGAGCAGCGACCCCCGGCAGCAGAATCTTCCGCGGCGGCAGCATGGGGGACGACCGGGGGGCAGGCACTCGCGGCGGGAACGGTGGCTGCGGCGGCAGCACCGGCGGCGAGAGCAATGACCCCCTGCAGCAGAGTCTTCCCGGCGGCGGTGGTGGGGGAGGAGAACTAGGAGCGGGCACTCGCGGAGGGAGCGGCGGCATCGACGGCTGCACCAGCGGCGAGAGCAACGACCCCCAGCAGCAGAGTCTTCCCCGCGGCGACGGTGAGGGAGGCGACCGCGTAGCGGGCACTCGCAGCGGGAGCGACGGCATCGGCTGCAGCACCGGTAGCGAGAAACGCGACCCCCGTCGGAAGAGGTTTCCCCGCGGTGGCAGCCGGGGGCATGGCCGGGGCGCAGGCACGCGGGCGGGAGCGGCGGCAGCACCGGCGGCAGTACCGGCTGCAGTACCGGCGGCGAAAGCGGCGACCCCCGGCAGCAGAGTCTTCCCACTGGGGCAGTCGAGGGGACGACGGGGGCGCAGGCACTCGCGGGGGGAGCTGCGGCAGCACCGGCGGCAGCACCGACGGCGAGAGCAATGACCCCCAGCAGCAGAGTCTTCCGCGCGGCGGCGGTGGAGTAGGATGCCGGGGAGCAGGCACTCGTGGCGTGAGCGGCGGCCTCGGCGGCAGCACCGGCAGCGAGAAACGCGACCCCCGGCGGAAGAGGTTTCCCCGCGGTGGCAGCCGGGGGCATGGCCGGGGTGCAGGCACGCGCGCGGGAGCGGCCGTATCACCGGCGGCAGTACTGGCGGCAGTACCGGCGGCGGGAATGACGACCTCCAGCAGCACAGTCTTCCGCGCAGCGGAGTAGGGGAGGTGAAGTGGGAGCGGGCACTCGCGGCGGAAGCGGCGACATCGGCGGCGGCAGAGTCTTCCGCGAAGCGTCGTTGAGGAGGCGAACTGGGAACGGGCACGCGCGGCGGGAGCGGCGGCATCGACGGCAGCACTGACGGGGAGCCCACGGCAGCAGAGTCTTCCCTGCGGTGACGGTGGGGCAGGCGGCCGGGGAGCAGGCACTCGCGGCGGGAGCGGCGACATCGACGGCAGCAAGGGTGGCGAGAGCGGCGACCCCCGGAACCAGAGTCTTCCGCGCAGCGGCGTTGGGGAGGCGAACTGGGAGCGGGCACTCGCGGCAGGAGCGGCGACATCGACGGCAGCAAGGGTGGCGAGAGCGGCGACCCCCGGAACCAGAGTCTTCCGCGCAGCGGCGTTGGGGAGGCGAACTGGGAGCGGGCACTCGCGGCAGGAGCGGCGACATCGGCGGCAGCACTGGCGGCGAGAAACGCGACCCCCGGCACCAGAGTCTTCTGCGCAGCGGCGTTGGGGAGACGCACTAGGAGCGGGCACTCGCGGCGGGGGCGGCGACATCGACGGCAACACCGGCGGCGAGAGCGGCGAACCCCGGTAGAAAGTCTTCCCCGCGGTGACGGAAGGGGGGGGCGGCCGGGGAGCAGGCAATCGCGGCGGGAGCAGCGACATCGGCGGCAGCAACGACGGCGAGGTCGGGGGCTTCTGCGATTAAGACGAAGTGTTGGATGGATTGGATTTGGGGGGGGGGCATTACTGCAGCAGGGGGCCGTCAAGATGTTATGTTTTGGGAAAAAATGCAAGAGGGGGGCTGTGAAGAAACCCATGTTGTCTCGATCTTTGACAAACGACATATAGCAGTTGGTGAAATTTCCTCTGGGGTTCTTGTATCCGCCGAGTTTTTTACCTTTCTCTGCGCAGTGGCTTATTACGCTCGTGCTGATCCAACCTACGTGGATGCCGTCCGTAGTCACAGACCAAAGAGAGAAGGTACATTGTTTGTGTGTGTACTCGGTAGGATACGAATCTCCAATATCTCTGGGGGGTACCCAGATATATATGCTGGGTGTGATGGACTTGACGCGCTAAGCTGTGCTTGCCTGCCCAAGTCTCTCACTCGTTTGCAAAAGGAACTTGAGTTATCCTTTGTTGTGCAAAATCGCTCTTGACAAGAGCCCTCGAGCGTGACAACGCCCTACACGCGCCGACACTCTCAACATACCTGACCCATTCTATGAAAAATGAATAGAAACCGAAGGACCCGGAGCAATAAGAATATACGTTATACAAACAGCCGCCGAACAGCCAGTCATCACAACAAGGTTGGCATGCACACAAAAAAGATGGACAAAGGAGATTGACAAGTAGAGCCCACAGTTCCCACTGGACACGGGAGGTCACGCAATAAGGAAAAAAAAACAACGGCAGTAAACTCGCATGATTCTATCATCTACCCCTACTATGTACCATACATAGTCTACGGCCCTCCCCACAATGTCGTACCCCCCCCCCCCCCCCC